GTTATGAACATAATGAGCATTGGCCTTGAACACATTGAAACGCTTATGCTTTTCGTCTAAATTTGTTGATATGGTGTGGTAGCTCCGCCACCTCTCGTACGAATCCCAAAGCCTCTCATCCGTCTCGAGTTCTTTCTCATGAAAATCGAAGCACTTCCCGAGGGTGAAAACTAAAGCCAAAGAGAGGAAAAGTACGAAAAACTTCGTCATTTTTTAGTGAGCAAAGTTGTCACAAGATGAAAATTTGTAAAATACAAGACACCTTTATATAAAAGAGGATTCATTGAAATCACAAAGGGATGGAATGCCTTATGGGAAAGAACGATCAAGAATTATGGATATGGGTGTTATGGAGGAGCAATTAATGGATATAAAACTTGCCTATACAAGCAAGAATTCTTATGATTGGTTTAGTTCACACACACAACAAACTTTCAAAATGGGGATGGGATGGCCGGTGGGTTGGGGGAGGTGGGGTACGTTTTGGTGGAGGGTAGGGAGTGGGACCATACATGCATACATACATAACAAATTGTTCAAGTGTGTAAACTATGGGGTGAGGTTCCATGCAAAGAAAGTTAACTTTGTAGGATATTGGGAAAAGAAAGAAGGTGATGCAAGCATTAGTTATGTGGTTAGTTTTTTTTTTTGGCATGCTTTCTTGCAAGTTGAGACCAAAGTTTTCGAGCACTTCACGAGTATTTTTAATATGACATGATAAAATAGTAATGAAGTAGATAAGATTTAAGTTAATTTTTGTAATTTACAATTGTTCAATCGAGCTTGTTATCGTCTTTGATAACTGAAAAATGGATATTTTTAAGTGTTTTATGGGAAAGGGTGACAAAAGGGCGGATACAACAAATTCTATTAGTAGCTTTCTCTGTCTAATAATAAATTGTCAGTTCTCGAGTAGCACTAAGATTGAATAATGTAATAAAAGAGATGGGTATGTGTAGTATTTAATACTAAACATGATTAAATATTACATGAATAGATAAATTTTAACTAATTTTTCAATTTAGCTCATGTTTGGGTGTGCTTATTAGTATTGCCACTCACTTTTATAGGCTAAAAATAAACAAATTATGATTCCTGACAATAATTGTGATTCTTACTTTATCTACTTGAAAAAAAAAAAAAACTTTTAAGCATTATAAAGCGATTAATGACTTAATGTTGTTCGACTGAGGTTATGGAACATAGTTGTTGGTGACTTGAAAAGGAATATTTTGAAATGCCTTATGGAGAGAGAGGATACAAAAGGGCGAGAAAAGTACGAACTACTAAGATTGTTTAATGTAATAAAGACGATTTTAACTTATTTTTATAATTTAATATTATATTGTCGAACTTATCAAATATGTCTTTTTTTTGTAAATAACTGAAAACGAATATTTAAAATGCTTTATGGAGAGAAAAGTGACAAGAAGATGAGATAAGTACAGGAAATCTGCACACTTCCCCAACTCTATGTTATAAACCTATATATTCTATCTAAATACATTAAAGAATGGTAAAATCCATAGTTATTAAATCCGGATCGGTCGGTACTGGAAACCCGGTGAACCAGACCATGGTCTGGTCCGAGTCTCATGAGGGAACTGTTTAGCAAAAAAACACTCGTTAGGATCACTGGAATACAATTGGCAATTGTCTTAATGCTTCATACTGTAATATATATCACTTGTTTTCAAGAATAACAATCATTCCACTAAACTTCTATTGCTAATAGAATAACTTAAAATCTTTTATAATATCAATTGTACGTAAAAAATTGGAAGAAGATGTTCATTATTTTTGTGAAATATAATAAACTATTCAAGACTTCTTTATTATTTAAAAATAAAATATAAAATATAATCGTCATTCACAAAGTATAACCCACAGTTATTAAAATAGGATCGGTCGGTTTGGACCGAGAATGGTTCAAACCTTGGCTTCCAAGGTTATATTTCATTTCCTCGATCATTGGGAAATTTGTGATATTTGGTCATATAGCAGGAGTCAAACATATATATTTAGATTTAGCAAAATAGATTTTCTTATACTTCAAAGATATATTTTAATTAAAATTACAATTTAACAATGACTCATCGATTCAACCACCGAGTCATCGGTTGAACCACTGACCCGGTGACCCGATGATTTTTTCAGGTCGACTACCGAGTCGGGTTTAATAACTATGGTAAAATCAGTCCATTAATAAATTGGATTTGTATTTGTGAACCTCTATTGTATATAGTCATGACTCTTTTTTAACTTTATTTCTTTTATTTTTTTTATTTTTTATTTTTTAGTAAAAGTAAGTTCTTTCGTTATTTTTAAAAGTGTAGGAGTTATTTTGCAATTTTTATAGAAGTTGAGTTCAAGTAGTACGTTTTTCTCATAAAAAGAAGAATTAGTCCTCTTGGTAGCTTGTGTTGAATTGAACATAAATTCTATTTTCAATATCATGTCCATTGTCCCGTATTCGATCAAGAATCTACAATAAGCGACCTTAAAAATTCAAGTATTTGCAAAATCAGACTGTATGATAATTAGATATTACACTAAAATAAACACGAATTCCTATCTTAATTTGAGTATTTCAGTGTTTGAAGTTTTGTTAACTCTTGATCGGTTTGTATAGATAAAGAAGAAACGAGTTCCTTCTAACTTCCAAGCTGATGGCTCAAAAGATGTTGCTTGTAAGACTACTATTGCGTGAGATAATTTGCCACTAGTCGAGAAAATTTTATTACTCCTCAAATATGAAATTCAATATTTTTATCATTATTTAATTGACATGTATATTATTAATTTATGCTTAGGTCCCAATTAAATAATCGATCTCAAATAGTATCATTTGATAAAAATGGATGGAAATCTTCAATCTTTGTTAATTGTCATAGTGAATAAATATAAAAACGTATTCTTCTGATGGTGGCTATGATGTAGAAAAAAAAAAGTTGAACCCCAACCTTAAGGGCCTCCACCGACCTTGTCCTGGGCCATCGTGGAGGAGATAAATCGCAGGATGTGCCTCCCAGGAGCCAGGGTGGAGAGCATATGGATAGGCCAAGGCTGTTAACCCATATGGTAACTCCCGCTTGCAACAAAACCAATTCCACCTTGCGGGGAATCGAACTCTGCACACTGCCGCAGGCGGGCTTTAATTATTCTTGTTGCTTCACCTTTTTCCAGTAAGTTCTGAAAGCAATCTTGTAATTTTGTTCTGATGTGATGCCGATTATATGCAAATTAACCTTTATAAATTGATAAATTGGTCTATATTTTCATTTTTATTGGACGTGGATTTTATCCCTCAACGACATGTGTATTGCGCTATACTAATGGTGGCTGTTTGGTTTGATTCAGGAAATCATAATTTAAGGTTGATACTTATATTTTTTTTGGAACCGTTGGGAATCTGGCACAAGATATTTAATTATATAGAGTTGTTTTGGATTTGGTATTTAGTTATTGCATTTGCATTTGAATGGTTCGGTTATTGGCTATGTTCAGGTTACCATTTTGGCTTCAGCAATGATGTCAAAACTCATATTGTCAAGCTGTTTTGACGTTACTGAGTTATGCTCGTGGACTACGTAAAATGTCTATGCCCTGTGTGGCTGCAGCTGAGTCATGTCGGGAGGAGTAATTCGTTCTAAAGAAGGAAATTCAGTATTGTTAAGCCGGTTTTGCAGTGACTAGTTAGTTCGGCGTAACCATGACATGAGGGATGCTCGCAATTTCTTGAAGACATACGCAGAGTCGTTTTTGGTTTCTTTTTGGCAAACCCTCGATGTTTTTCATCGAAAGTTTGACTAGGGTGTTATATATATGTGTGTCTGTGTTATTTTTACTTATTTAGTTTCTTAGTTAATGGTAGTTTCGTTTTCAATAAAGTTTTATGTTATAGGGTTTTACACTCTGGCTGACTTTGGGATATTATAGAGGAAATTAGGATTTTGCTATTTATACATAAAAATTGTATATAAGCGTTTATCGAAAATGATGTGGAGGGAAAAGATTGAATAAAAAAGTTAATTGTATTTTAAATTGACAAATAATAGAGTACCATGTAGAGATTAGGTAATCCTTATATAAACCTTGATGTAAATGTGGCAAAGTCTAAGATATTATACAGATCATTCTACTAGTATACTTTTGGTATATATAATGAATTACATTCCCCTCACATGAACAGGACCTGCATACAATAAATTATATGTGGGCTCTCTTCCATGTAAGGGGGTGAAATGCATTATATACACCAAGGTGTACATATAGCATCGTCCAAATTATATACTCTTTTACGGATCTTGCTACATGTACATCAAGGTTTACATAAGAGATTACATATGTTACATGACATTATACTATTTGTCAGTTTAAAACACAATCAACTTTTTCATTCAATTTTTCCCCTCCATATCATTTTCGGTAACTATTTATGTACTATTTTAATGTATAAGTAGCAAAATCCCTCGTTTACATACTTATTCCCACTCTTGTGCACTAGGGCAATATGGCTCTAAAGCACTAACAGCTACAAAAGAAGCCGATTCCTTGAGACGAGTTTGTTACGCTATTCTATTTTAAAAAAAAAAGTAAAAGTTACATTTAGGCTTCTTTTTGTCAACCATAGTGTTAAAGTAATTCTTTATTCTTTAACTAGAAATTTTTTCTTAACTTACTTTCTAAAACAATATCTTTTAAGCTTAGCCAAATAAGAAGTTGAATCTTGTTCCACAACTCTCTTGCTCCATCGAGTAATGCTATTCCAATCTATGTGGCATGATATAAACTGGTGCTAAATAGCATTACAACGCTCCCATCAGGCAATGGACAATATATTTCAGCTCCATTTTTACTAGTTCAAGCTCATTAACCAGATATGGTATGGCACCTCTCTGAACAGTGTTCAGCCCTTTTTAAGCATATACAAGTTTTTAAGGAATATTCAATAAGACTTGAACGATACATAGAAGATTAATATAGCCACTGCACAAGGATGAGAAGCACAAATTGATGAGATACAATACTATCGGATGTTAAACATTCTTTATACAGGTCTGCCTAAAGGACAAGTAAAATTTGTCTCAGAGTGATGAATTATACCATGATATACCCCCAGCTTTTTCCTCACAACAGAAAAGTAAAATGGAAAAGTTATTCGATGGGGTCATCGTGGAAATTACGAGAACAAGATACATGACCCACAACCATAAATTAAATCGTAAATCGTCTTTTTTCCCCATTTCTTCTCTTCACACCAATCAAAACAAAACACAAAGATCTACACCACTATTGACAAATTCACACAGCTCGTATTCTGTCCAGCCAATCCACGCTCTTTCGTGCCTTCTCCAGTTGATGATCAATACTCCTCCGGGACTTCTCATGATATTCCACACTCCTCCGAGATCTTTCTGTCTGGTCAAATGATACTCTCAACTTAGAAAGTTTGTCATCAGAATGCATTTTATACTCATAATTTTTCATTTTTTCTGGCCTATCAGTGCTTTTTCTAGGTTTCTCCCTCCTGTCAGTGCTCTTTCTTGGAGCCTCAAAACAGTCAGTACTCCTCCTGGAATGTTCGGGCCGGTCTATACTTCTTCGGGCAGTGTTCCTCTGGGAGGGTGGTTTTTCAACTGTAGAAACAAACTTCTTTAGGTGCCTAATATATTCAGGATATAGTTCCAAATCACAGTGGTTTCCACCCTTGAGCCATAATGGTTCGAATTTCTCTTGAGATAGTTCGTAAAGTTGTTTCCCATGATAGCAGTCAACAACATCATCAGCAGTGCCCTGCATAAAAACATTGAAAAGAAGTAGAGTGAATTCAATTAGCTATATCATAACACTGTTCGGGTGCTAAGATCCAACTTAGTATGGCACTGGTTTGGTATAGATATTTCTCATGAGAATGAAGTTGCTTCGAAAAGCCAGTGGAGTGATGATGATGCAAAATATTGAATAGTTTTATGCAATCACAAAGAGAAGATATATTACTTACATGAATAACCAGAATAGGACACTTCACCAATGGGATCTTGTCAATGTTCTGCAAAACACCAACATAAAGTCATATTTATAAATACAGAAACCGACGACATTTTTACAAGGGCATCCACAAAGCGTAAAATAACAAGGCATCAAAACCAGTATGGCGGAAGAATGATATTAAGAAATATAATTGAATTAGTTGTATAGAAATTTACCTTATAAATGTCAAACCAGTATGTATGCCTCACAGGATACATGACTCTTAAGCCTGACAGGATAGCACTATGTAAAACAACAGCCCTTAGTCGAGGCAAACGGGTGGCAAGATCTAAGGTCGGACCACTCCCAACAGATTGCCCATATAGGATGATGTCTTCTTGCTTAGCCCCATAGCTCTCTTCGAGACACTTGTATGCAGCTTCAATATCTGCATAAGTATTGTGCTCACTCGGCTGCAGTAAAGTAAGCATACTGACATCAACAGGCGCTCTCAGGTATTCAATCACTTTCTTGCATGATTGAAAACCTTAAAAAAGTTATGACAAGTATATAAGTAAGTTTTAAAATAAATACATATTTTATTGGTCAAAGTTGGAAATAAGTAATATTTATTTATTTTTATATAAGTAAGAAGAAGTATAATATGTCCAAATATGTTTTGAAACGAAAATGTTCCTTCATAATACAAAAGAAAGAGATTTGCTATCAATAACGTTACCTTTCCAGATGACTGTCCATAGCCTGAGTAGTCATACCTGCATAAATTTTAACGTGCGTAAAAGACTTCAAGAAATGAGCTTAACTTAATTAAGTTTTAGTAGCATGTGAAACCAAGCATCATAATCTGACAAGGCAGATTATAGCATAATAAAAGCACCTGGAACCAATAACAAGGATTAATATGAACTGAGTATGTCGTATATATTGAACATGGAATCTCATTTTTGCACAAGAGGCAGTGTTCAAAGATTTATATATAGTTTTACGAAACAGACACATTAGAATTGTACGAGGAGATATTTCCAATCTAATATTATAAGTTGCCTTTGAAGTAGAAAGGATTAATAACAAACTCAAAAACTATAATTTTTAATTTATGCACAGAACAAAATGAGAAGAAGAGACGTTTACAGCTTCCATACAGATTTTTCCTTCAAAATGAGGAATTAACTGAGTTTTGAATTATGCCATTGAATGCTATTGACCAATCAATTCCATTCAGCAAATTCTTTATTCCAAAAACTTTCAGTTCCCTATCCTCTTCCTTGCTTTGTTGTTGGAAATCAGCTATGATTTTTCATAACAGATTTTTTTTATTTTATTTTTTACTTTGCAAAATTATAGTTATGTCTTTCCTTCGCTGATAAAAATTGATTATTTTATAGCCTATTTGCCATCAAACTAGACTTTGAGCTTTATCAAATATGATTCATGATAGCCATGTAAATGCTCGATCTGACCAACTCCCCAGATCAAGTTGATTACTTTGCTTGTGTTGTACTTTCTAATACGCAGATATATTCCCAATTGTAGAGTATGGTCATAGACCAGATGATACATGAACCATGATATGGCAATGGAAAGAGAGAAAAACCACAATCCCTAACCATTTTCGAGTGGACAATACAATATCAGATGGTAAATGTGCCAAACAAAACTCAACATTGTGAAGATGGAAATCTGTTCCTACCGCCAGAGTCTACATAGACGACCTAAAGAACCTATGTATTTATCTTTCCACTATTAGTAATAATTCAAACAGGTATTGCAAACATTTAAGATTTCTATACCACCTATTGCAGATTCAATAATATGACCAGTTAGGCATCGTCTGATTCACAAATATTATCCCCACTGAATACACCCGTGAACAAAACTAGATTCTTGGAACAAAAATGGGACAGCGAACGCCAAATTTACCCCGTCTACAATACAAACAAACCAAATATAATATAGGCAAGACACTTATAAATAGACATTCTATATCTACACAAGTAGACACCTTTTTTGGTAATTATAAGCTAAATTAATCAGTAATTATCAGTATACACAAATATATATCCAAATTCCTACTAGGTAATTCAATTCACATCAATTTCATCAACGCACATAAAAAGGCCAAAATGGCAGCTCATAAGACAATTAAACAAACAGCCCATCAATTATATTCCAAAACAGCACATACATACACAAAACAGTACAGAATCGAAAAAAATTCAACTTCCAAAACCACATAAATTCATAAAATCATCATAAAATTCCCCAAAATTCCAACTCAATCAAACCAGAATTTGATCATAATTGACTTACCCCATGAGATTGACTCTGAGGTGAATACTGAGCTCAATGAAAAGCTCATACATCTGCCCAATATCCGCGGCGTTTCCATGGGAATAAAGCAAGGTCGAGGTCGCCATAGGGTACCGTATATATATAGCCACAATCTCATTCCCCCGCCGTGTCGGCAGCTTCAAAACGTCGACGTTTTCACGGTGCGGAAATGGGTCCAACAGCAACAACCCAGTGACATCATCCCTAATTACCTTGTAACTTGGTGGGCTCGGAGGGAAAAATGCTAGCTTCGCAGCCATTGACGACGTCACCCCTCCCATTGAACTTTATCAATATGTGAATTGTGAGATTTGATTCTTGAAGTTAAGAGGAAAGACTATGTGCTCGTGTATGCATAAATGTAGGTACAGACAGAAAAAGAAAGAGAGAATGGGGAGGCTTTGGTGCAGAGTGATAGTGATGATATACTATGGACCAGCTGTGAAGTTAACTGTTCATGAGAGGATGGTCACATGTGCAACTACAACACTTAATTATTTTTTTCTTTTTCCTTTCCATCTAATCCATAGGCCTTCTACGCGAGGGTTCATGTGCTACAGTATTATCGAAGATGATAATAAAATAACACGAACTGTATCTCAAATCACACACGATGCTCTTATATCCAAAAGAAAATTCTCGACATTTCAGAAGAAATCACATTTGACTACATTAATTTGAAGAGTCTTCATATTGCAATAGCTTATTCATCCTCAATGAAAAACCTATTTGCTACCAAATTTGGAAGGGACGTGAAATATTTTTTTCGTGTATAAATAATTTTAATCTAATAGGAAAGTGGAGAAGTACTTTTAAGCGAAGAATAAACAAATATAAATTCTTTTATGTGTTGGTTCTTTGCTTGAAATATTTTACAATAATTTTTATGAGCTCACGGGTGGTAGAAATTGTGGAGAAATGTTCCCGCATGTTAGGTTTATAAGTTGAATGTTGGAGATTCATTTTTGTCCAAATTATTTTAGACATCTAGGGTAATAAAACAAATTTTCTTATCGAAATGGCTTAGTGGATATGATGACATGTTTAGTTCGTACCAACGGAAAGTATTTGCAAAACAATATACAAGATTTAATTTTTTTTCTTATCCATTGTTATTCAATTCAAAATAATAATATAATTACATCAAGTAACTAAACAACACTTAACAAAAACATTTTTTTTTTTAGGTGAAAATTCATTCATCGACAAATAGAAAAACATATCTTAAAATCGCTACCCAATAAAGTAAATTAATCAATACTTATATGAACTTCTTGATTCGATTCTAATCTTTTCTTAACACAAATTTGTTAACCACATTCTCAATTTAAACTTTTTGGGGGGTTATTTTTGCCTTTGCTATACGATATATTTCGAGTTTGGGATATCAACATCGTTACTTTCATAGTGCACAATATTAAAAACGGAAAAGAAGTTTTTTCCCCCTATATTCTACTTTTGAATTCTATTTGACATATCGAGAATTGCTCAAAATCTCGAGGAATCAAGAATGCATTGATGATTACACTTTTTACCCCATAGAAATGGGATCATTGCTTGTTTTACACCAAAAATGGTCAAAATTACCACAATAATCAAAGATTATGAGCTGGTTTCTAGTTGGGAGTGCTGGGGCCGGTGCTTGGGAATTGGCCTCACATGTCTCTTTCTATAGAATATTTGTTCTTCTGTCTAGGAAGATGTACTCTATTAGACCATTAGAGTCAATATTTTGTACGACGAACTAAATAATATTATATAATATTGAAAAAGAAAGGAAAAATAAGAAATTGATCGTAATAATATTTTGTAAAATATAATGCTGCATATCAAAAATGTATATAATAAATTTTGGTGCAATGAACCACGTTGTTTGGTGGTCCCTGCAAAGTGACCACAATGATTTTACGTTGAATACCAAATTTAATATATAAATTTGTCTTTTCATATGATTTAATTGTTTAAATAAATTGATCCAATTTGATTTTAAGTAAAAGTTTTGAGCCATGACCAATGTTAGCCTACTGCAACGCGACCATCGTTAATATTCGATTAATTTTTGACTATGGTCTCGAGAAGTAGCATAACGATCATTTCATGATCAAGAGCTTTAACAATTGTTCAGAAGAGGTTGACACGACAGTTAGTGAGCTTCAAAATGGGAAACAACTGAATAACAATATTTAACCCAAATATACTCGGTTAAATAAGTGAAAAGTTCTGCTCTAACATTAAAAACTACTTATAGAAACTAATTTACGTGTCCGATTTTTAATGGCAACTTCAGTTAGATTAATTGTATACGACTGCGTCAAGGAAGTTGCAGACACTAATGTTGAGAAAGTTGAAGACACTTTCTTGAGGTGTACAGAAATAGCCCACATGTCTCCTCTATTCCTATTGAATTTCCTTCATAGATACAGCAAAAATGGTGCGATTAAAATAGTGTAAAGTAGAGAATTTTTATAGAAAGAAGAGAGGGATGTCCGAAGCTTCGGATCTTGTTAAATTATAGTACAGTATATAGTTTAAGGTGGATAAGCACATGGAAACATTTATTACGTAGCATAGAATAATTGGTTCTTATATTTCGTCATTTTCTTTAGGGGGAAAAAAAATAAAAAATAAAAAATTTTTAGGGACTCTATGAGTCGGAGGTGACAACAAAGTTGGTATAAAAAGTATTGAACCAAACAACTATCAAACTTCAGAGATTTGCAGAAAAACTTGGAGAAAATATTCAAACTTTCTCAAACCGTACCATGACACCAACAACGGTGATGTTACAATTTTGGGGCTGAGACGCTATAAATAGGAATATGCCTGTCTGTGTGACCAAGAAAACCTGACTTGAAAACCTAAAGCATTCCTCTATTGATTAAAGGAAGCCACAAGGGGAAAAGACTTACACCAACTCTTTTACAATACATTGAGTATCAGATTTTACAGAGAAAACTAGAAAGAAACACTTCCAATTAGAGATGAGAAGAACATAGAGAAGAGAAAAAGAAGAGTCGCTAAGAAAACACCTCTCAAATGATGAAAATGGCGATTTGAATGAATAGGGTAACCAAAGGTACTATTTATACACTAAGAGTTAGTCATTGATCAAAACATCATCTAGCGATCCAAGTGGCTCCTCAGAAAATAGAGATAAACGCATTTGGGCTGCACTAAATGCCATGCCTTAAAACACGCTTTAATTGCCTTCAAAGAGATAATTGGCATTACAACCCAACAACTTCCATCTTGATGTAAATGGGTTTTCAGACACAATTGCAGTTTTCCAATTGACACCAAGTAATACCTGCAAGTCAAAATTTAACCAGTATCAATGTTCAGAAGTGTCAAACATCATTTAAATTTTGAAAAAGACAATACCTTTGTCCCCATATTTGATGGGTTGAACCGAGTAGGACTTTCTTCAAGAAAGATAGATCCACTAGAAATAACGTCTCTAATAAAATGCACTTTTACATCTATATGTTTTGTTCTTTAATGAAAAATAGGATTCTTATACAAATGTATTGCAATTTGACTATCAGAGTAGACAATCACAAATTCAGTAAGCATATTTATTTCAGTTAACAACTCTTTGGACCACAAGGCTTCTTTTACAACCTCTATAGCTACCACATATTCAGCCTTCGTTGCCTACAATTAGGACTCCCAACTTACAGAAGTACCACAAAGAGTAAACATATAAGCATATGTAGATTTTCTATTGTTTTTATCATCGGCAAAATCAGCATCAATAAAGACTTTTAGTATCATCCCATCATTGTAGTTTTTAAGCACTAATCTTACCTGGGAAGTGCCTTTTTCAAATACCTAAGAAGCCATTTAAGAGCTTCCAAGTGTTCTCCAAAGTTGGCCATAAACCTCCTTAGAATACTAATTGCATGAGCTACATCATGTCTAGAATAGATCATAGTATACACAATAGATTGTACAGCATTAACATAGAGAACCTTTTCCATGTGTCTTATATCAGATTATTAATTGGGCATTACTCTTCACTAAGTTTGAAATGACTAGCTAAAGGCAGTGAAATAGATTATGATTCATGCATGAAGAACTTAAATAAATTTTTTTTAATATATTCAGACTGTTTCAAAGTTAACATAAATTAAAACATTTTTCTAACAACGTTCATCCCAAGTATCCTTTTAGCATGACCCAAATTTTTAATTTCAAATACAGATCCAAAAACTTCTTTTATATCATTCATCTGTTTCAAATCAAGTCCAATTAGGAGCACGTCATCAACATATAGTAACAAATGGACAGATACGACAAACTTAGAATTCCTTTTAAAATAAAGGCAATGATCATAAGAGCTTCTTACAAAACCAACAGTAACAGTAAAGTTATCAAATCTTTTATATCATTGTCTACGTGATTGTTTTAATTCATACAAAGATTTTTTAAGCAGACGCACGAAAAGGGATTTGGAAACATTCAGGTTGAGACATGTAAATGGTTTCATCTAAATCACCATGTAAGAAAGCTATCTTTACATCCATTTGTTAAAGTTCTTAATTATGATGAGCAACTAATGCAAGTAAAACTCTAAAAGTAGTATATTTCACAATAGGTGAAAATATTTCGTTGATCCACACATTATTTTTGTGTAAATCTCATAACTACAAGTCGGTCTTAAAGGCTCATTATCAGATCTGCCTTCTTTTACCTTGTAAATCCATTTAGAGTCAACAATGGATTTGTCTTTGATCTTGGAACAAGTGCCCAAGTTTTATTTTTCATTAAAGAACTCATTTCTTCCCTCATGGTAGATTCCTACTTGCTAGATTGATTACAGCTCACAACTTCATTTTAGGTCTTAGACTCTTTATAAGCAAGATCTTGATAAAACAAGATAGAGAAAGATAGATAATCATTATGTCTAACAGGTACTCTTATGTTCCTTCTCGGCCTATCCCTAGCCAATTGATACTCAATCAGATCATTTTGTTGGTTGGGGTTATTAGTCTTTATTTGATCTTGGTCTTGTACACACGGGTTTTTTGTTTCAATTTGGCTTATAAAAGTATCAAACCAAACAACTATCAAACTTAAGAGATTTGCAGAAAAACTTAGAGAAAATACACAACTTCCTTTCAAGCTTTCTTAAATCGTAACCATGGCACCAAGAATGGAAATGTTACAATTTTAGGGCTCAGACATAGTAAAATAGGGTCGTACCCATCTGTGTGACCAAGAAAACCTAACTCGAAACCCTAAAGCATTCCTCTATTAATTAAAGGAAGCCACAAGGGTAAAAGACTCACACCAACCTTTTTACAATACACTAGTGTTGGATTTCACAAAGAAAACCATAAAGAAATACTTCCAATCGAACACAGAGAAGAGAAGAAGAGTCTCACAAAAAGCACCACTCAAACGGTGGAAAAGGCGAGCTGAATGAATAGGACAACCAAAGGTGCTATTTATACACTAAGAGTCAGCCATTGATCAGAACATCATCTAATGATCCAGATGGCTCCTTAGAAAATAAAGATAAACGCATTTGGGTTGCA